TTGTCTCATGCCATTCCAGGGTGCCAGGGAGAGCGGAGGGTGAGTGGAATTGGCTTTCCTCATTATGAAGAAGTCTGCATAGCCCAGTCAATAAGCATTGTTCTTTCTTATAGCTACAGGTACACCTTTTGGTGTTAAAATCAATATTTGCCTGAGGCCAAAGCCTAAAACATCATTAAAAATAAGTTTTAAAATACGGAAATAGAAATTGTATTTTATTATTAGTTTAAACATTACTTATCTCTTTGAGGTAATAATTTTGAGGTAGCAAAGCTGGTCTTTTACTGTGTGTGTGTGTGTGTGTGTGTGTGTGTGCGCACGCACGCGCTGTTTTAATCGTTTGCTCTGCTGGGTTATGAGATTTTTTTTTCTTTCTTTTTAATTGACATACATCCCTTTACAAGTTTAAGGCATACAACATGATCATTTGAATTACATATGTTATGAAATAATCGTCGTAATAAGGTCAGCTAACATTTATCTCATATAGATACAACATAAAGAAGCTGAATTAATTATAACTGTATTTTTATTTTGCCAAAGGTTCATGGAACACCTTTTAAGTGCTGGACATCTGATTGGCTTAGGATCTACAATAATGAAAGAGAATAAAATAACCTTGTTTGATTTACAGTTGGGTAACTCGAATGCCTCGGGTACTTACCTATTGTATTACATAATTCAAAACAGTTCAAACCTTTTCCCTACTTAATGCAAGAATTTCAATATGTTATCAGCTTGCCCTCTTGCACACTTTTTTGAGCAACTGAGATACTCCAACAAGTCAGTTATTATTCACCATCTCAACCAGCTGCCTGGTCTGGACCACTGCATCATTCTTTTGTCAGTAAGTAACATCTGCAGCCTCCTGCTGCTGCTTTCCCATGCAGGTCTGTAACCCTGGGTGCCATTTCAGACTCACACAACTTCCCACACTATTACAAAGATCAGCTGTGATGTTTACATGACTTCACTCATGGCTTTAGGATTTCAAGAGAAAAAAGGGAAGAAAATATGAGTGGAGAACTCCATTCTTGTTACTAGATATGGAGATTCTCTGAGTTCACAGACCAAAGCCCTCCCCTGCCACCCCTTCTGTAGGCATCGCTATTATGCAGCCTTCTCTGCCCAGGCTCAGGCCCATCTCCATGTTTCAGGGATACATTAACTTTCCCACAAAGGGAATGCCTAGAACAAGTCTCTAATATCTGGATCACAGTCACCTTTCTCCCAAGCCCAGTGACAGCAGCTACAGGCTCATCCCTCTACCGGTCTATTTCCTGCTCCTGTGAATCATGTTAGACGGACACTGAAAAGATCTCTTTGTGGCAATCCTGCACCCTTCCACAGAGGAATGGTCTTTTCCTTTTAGGTCTTGAGAAAATTCAGAATATCAGTACTTTTCCCAAAGTTGAGTTGATGAATCTGAAATGATCACAAATATGGGGCTTAAAAGGTGTAGTCCAGTTTGAGCATCAGCAATCTCAGGTACTTCTTTCTAAGGTAAGAGGCATTCATGTGCTTACTGGATTCCAGTCCCTACCCATCTCTTCTGGTGAAGTGCTTGAACAAGAAAACACATCTTCCAGTAGCTAACAAAAACTTTTAGTGACAACAGCATTTAAATTGACTTGCAGAAGGAAAAAAATGTGTGAAAAAACATATAATTTGCAGAGATGATACTGTGCTGCAGTGAAAACAACTTTTTATATAATTATGAAAAGCAGATTAAGCTCCACGGACCATATTCGCTCCAGAGTCTCTGGTTTACCTTCATATCTCCACTTCACTGGATGATCCTTTAAGAGGTTTTCCCCAAAACAAAAGAGCAGTGTGCCCCTAAAGCTGAATTTAAATCTTTTCCTCAAGGGAAACAAACTGCTAGAAACATTAAAACGTCAGTTTCTCTTATTCAGCAATTAGTGTCAAAATCTCTTGGGAGTCACTTTAGGCCAGAGCACCCCATTAAGATCTATTTTACTAGATATAATTCAATAAGGTGTCAGTAGGCCATCAGAAAAAAAATCTCAGATAGATGAACTGCCTACTGAAATCAAGCACTAAGCAATAATTTCAGCCCAATACAACGAAGTTAAAACGCTGTGGAAGTGTGCTGAGTACCCTGGGGGCTGGTGAGCAAAGAATTCTCCGGAGTCACTCTCCTGAGCAAGAAGCAGCAATGTTGCTTCCTCTGGTTTATTTTAAGCTCTTTATTTTTTAAGATTCTTTATTTTCTTAATTTTTTTAGCCACTGTCGTTCCCATATATGAATTCCATTATAACATAAATATTGAAACATACCAAAAAATGAACATTCTGCTGACGTCTTAATTTTCCCAAAAATTGTATTTGAGGAAAGGTTGTTGTTTCTAGCCTGATACCCAAGAAGTCAACTTTTACCTTCCCTCTCTGTGTGTTTTTATCTTGGCCAACTAGGATTAATAAATTGGGGCTTGGTGGACAGAGCACATATTCCCCACCTCCCAGGCAAGACTTCTTTCCTACAGTGCCTCATTTCATTTTAAAACGTTCTAACTACTTAAAATAAATATATATTTAAATAAATCTAAAGCGTGACTTTTTCTAGGACAAATGGCAATCAGAAAAGCACAGGTAAATAAACAGGTTTTATCTCTTATAAGATAATACAAAGTCTTTTTTTTTTTTTTTAGATTTCAAATTTAAAAGTCCTGAAGTATGTCATGTTCTTGTGAACTACTGTGTGTTAATTAGCACTGGGCAAGGCCAGCCATGTCCAAAAAGGTTAAATATTAAGACTAAAGTGTCATTAGGCCTCAGCTGAGTCAAGGATCTGGGCTGCTTGAGCTGAAATGTAGCACTCAGACTTCAGTGATTCAATGAGAGGGTGTATGACCTGGCCTTGCCAGGCTAAAAGTTATTTGTTTTCCTTATGTTTTACAATGGAGTGGTTTTTCTAGACAGGGAATGATATATTAATGATGAACGCTTTTTAAAAATTATCTCTTTATCAATTAGTTCAGTTAATTCTTAAGATACATTTTAGTATTTTAAGAGAGAACATATAGTAATAGAACATAACTTTTATATGGCACAGATATTTCCTAAAGTTGTATGAGAAAAATGGTTTTGTGACCCCATAATATTTTGGGTTTAGGGAATAAAAGAAAAAATATTGATATGTGTACAGTTTAAATAACATTTCTTTTAAATCTCAGCTACAGGAATTGCTTAAACCTGATTTATGTATAGTTTGAGTAGATTTTAAGGAGGATAGCTGCCTTTGTGGAGAGCTACAAAGGATAGATTCATTTGGAAAACTTTGTAAAATAGAGTTCCTTAAAATGGTGGCGTCAGAGTAAAGTGTCCATGGGACAGATAGGCTTTACATATCAAAATGAGGAGCTTTCTAACAATTCTCTGAGGATTATGATTTAGCCTGTGGTATAATGCATTAGGGCACTTTGCTATAGAGTGTATGGGTATAAATGAGGGGTTCTTTCTGGCATGCTGTATGAATATAATCGATATATGTCTTCATGGTCATACCCTGTGCTATAACTCATTTTCAACAGGTGAACACACCAAGTATGGACTAGTCTCTACTTGCTCCTTCCTTCCCATAGAACTCCATGCCAACTTGGATCAACACAACTTCTCAAAGCCAATATTTTTCAACCTCCTGCGTTTTTCCCATAGACAGAAATCCTTCACAAGCCATGACCCTTTGTTTATCTGAATCCTTCATGGCACAGTACTGTCCACCTCAGCTAATTCTTTCTCTTACATCCCCCTTTTCCCTTACGCTTTGACCGGTATTCCTAGACTCTTGTACTCCTCTTTCTCCCATGAGAGTGTCATTTTCTTTATTCTGATTGACAACCAAAAACCTGGCAATAATTGCACTAAGTATGAAAATCCTGGTAATCCTGGTATTGCTAAAATGAAGAAATTATATATGTTACAGTAGAACTGAACGAGATACAAAGTCAAGGCTGTCTTCATCAGCTAAGGTTCTTGAGGTACTGAAAAGTCTCCTTTAAAATCTTCACCTAAGTTATAATCTATCACTATATCCTTAACTACATAAATGAAAAACATAAGCACTTAAAAGTAAAGAAATTATGTCTTAATCTGTTTTACTCTCTTTCAATTATTACTTTACCATATATTGCATTTCTGTTATTTTGTATTTAAGATGTGTTGTGCATTTCAACCTCATAAAAGATTAAATTGATATTTATGGGCTATTCTGGAAACCTAATTACAATTTGTTTCACTACATCTAGAAGAAAATATGTTCAAATTCCCTCTGGCTTTTGGAACACAACCAAATAGAAGGTTGCAGACATACTGTGTTTTAGTCTTTGTTACTTGCCTCCTCCACTGGTTAGGGCTTGTGTCTGTTTGCAGGTGTGCACCTGTGTGTCTGTTATGTACACCTTTCACAGTTCTGGGTTCATAACATCATTTATTCCTTCCTTTCTTCAATAGATTGTTTGAATTCCTATTACGTAAAAGGTCTGTTTTAGGCCCAAGGGATATCCAGAAATGAGGTTACGGCTCTCAGAGCATTGACACTCTATTGGAGAATAGACATAAACCAAAAAGTTGCACAATCACATATAAAATGCACTGGTAATAGATGCTATGAAGGGAGGCCACACAGCACTATTCAAGCATGGAACCAGAGATCTGCCTTGTCTCCAGGCTCAGGCTGGTTTCCTGGAGAGGGTGCTGCTCCAGCTAAGATCTCAGGACTTAAGAGAGAAAGGGCCTTGAGAAGTGATGCGGGGAGGGGTAAAGATGGAGTTGAAAGTGCGCCAGATAGAGCGCTCTCATGTTCAAAGACCTTATTTGCTCAGTTAGGTTCTCTTGATAATTTTTTCCAGGAGTGACCACTGTGTAGCTGGGAGACTTTTAGCTGCAACCATATAGTGAACATTAATTTCAATCATACTAGAAAACAAGACGGCACATATTTCACAAGCAGTGATACCTCTTTTTTTTTCTTTTTTCAGGTATGAAGTACTACTTAAGCCCTGACAACTACCCTGAAGATGGAATTATGAATATGGCAGCTTTTCTGCGGGGCTTTGAAGACAAAAGGATAAAAAACGACCTGCCTGAGGACCAGTTCAGTAAAGAGAAAAAGAAAATCCTGTTCTCCTTCTGTGAGGTGTGCAACATCCAGCTGAACTCTGCCGCCCAAGCCCAGGTCCATTACAACGGCAAATCCCACCGCAAGCGGGCCAAGCAGCTGAGCGATGGGCAGCCCCAGCCCCCGGCTCAGGGTGCGGGGCCGCTGCTGGCCAGCCCCAGCGCCACCAGCACAGGTAGGCAGGAGGGCCGCGGGCTCCGATCACACCGGGAGAAAAGCTTCTGTTCTAGAAAATGAAGGCTTTAGAGCAAGACTTACCTTTCACCCCAAAGCTT